CTATTGGATTAAATGGCAAAATGGTGGGATCAGAAATTAGATGAATGTGCTGTGATCACAGCTTTTAATGTTTTTCTCTTTCTGTCTCATTCGTTTTGCCCTGTTTTCCAAACTCGTCCCATTAAGACACAAACAGAAAAGTTTCTCTGGGGAAAACAAATGTTTCCTGCAAATCCAGTTACCAGATTTCATAATAATGGATCAAATGCAGTTTGAAAGAAGCCAGATGGTCTTTTTGTAATGTTCAGATGATCAAAGTACCTGCAACTTAGTGCTGAAGCACTTGGTAGATTTAGCAATTAGCTTAATGACAGAAAATTAATTGACAACATATTTTATATCTATTTTTCATTGAAGTTAATTATCAAGCAAACTGTTTTCAGCTTCTCAATTATGATGATTTTTTATTTTTTCCCGTTTTATGTTTTAGTGAATTGCTTTAAACTGTTGATCAGATAAAACCAATTAACATCTTGACGTGTGGAAGATTATGATGGGAATATTCTCCACTTCTGGATAACTCATTGATGAACAGATTTACTAAACAATCACAAAGTAGAGCGCACCACCACCAAGGCCCGACAGTCCCCTTAAATCCAATTCAGCTGCACCAAATTACACACTCATAGATATCAGTCCCCTTTAATATCCCTGGTTTTTTTCTGATGCGTTATTCCCTGGAAAATCTTTGAAAATTCAAAGCAGCTGTCACAAAACGCAACTTAAAACTAGTATTTTGGCATCAAACATTTTGTATAAATCCAATCTCTGCAGCTGCTCTACAGATTATCTTTAATGTGTGAAACACAACAGAGTAAACAAACCATTTTATTGGCTTGTCTGCCAGTTTGCGGAATCTTAGGAAATTTAAACAATTGAAAATACAGTCTCAATCAATATTTAGTAACTGCACCTTACATGTTTTTATAGAGACCTAGCATAGCAACAGTACACACTTAATTAAAAACCAGTGCAGGCCACCAGTGGCAGCAGTTTGACCACCTCAGGGTGCGTTTCATTATTCCTATCTACACTGAATGGAACAGTGGCCATGATAACTATCTTAATCTTATTTGGCTTGTTTTCTCTCTGTTTTATTTCTTTATTTTTCTCTTTCTCTCTGGATGTATAGAAACACAAAGTGACCAATCCAAACCAGTCTAACGAATAACAGCCTCCCTCCACACACCTCAGTGCATGTCATTGAATCCCGGTCGTGTCTGTGTGTGAGACGGAGAGAGTGAAATAAGAGAAGGCAATCTGATTGAGGGGTTGTCGGGATGTGTGTATCAGTTGTATCTTGCCTGTGTGTGTGTGTCTGGGTTGATTGCATCTTGTGTTTCTCACCAGTGCAGCCATATTGATAGCTGAGGTAGCACTAAACATGATATTAATGACGATAAGGATTCCTGCAGGTAGGGAAACCCAGTGTATCTCCATCAGACATATTTCACTAATCCTTTTGATGTCCTGATCAAACATTGTCCTCGTGCCAAATTTATTGCTCCGGTCTCTGTAGAGTTTGGCCCGTTTCCGCTCTGCCCTACTCTGTGTCGAGCGCTGAGAAATGGCGTGTAAGGCAAGCAGCAAGACCCAGAATGCAACCTGCCAACCCGCCAGATGCTTTGATCCAAGATGGCCCCCTGAGAGCCAGCATGGATCCACAGTGTCGCAGAGCCAGGGCTGGATTCAGACACAGTGTTAGTGCTGCTTGCCAGGGATATTTACACCATTTGTCTTCATACAAAACAGTGTTCAGCAGTTTTTTTCTCTGTTGTTGTCACTCACAGCACATGCCATTCAGCATCAGAATGAATTGATGGGATAGTGTGTTAGGAAAAGGTCGTCCCAGTGAGAATCAAAGACCAAACACTACATTAGAGCCTCAATTTATACAGCTCTTCAGTAATCTTCCACAGAAATAAACCTATAGTGTATATTGTGGAGTTAAGCCAATGAACCGATTAAATTATGAAA